TCTCAGCCACGCCGGGCAATTGTCCAGGCGCCGCGGCCCTAGCATCGAGCGGGCAGGTCCGCGGGGCCGGGGTAGGGGAGGGGCGAGAAGGAGGGGGCTTAAGGAGGTGGCGCGAGAGGGTAGCAGCCGGGGCTCCCGGGCTCTTGCCTTGGCTTCTTTCGGAAGCGTCTGGAGGAACTGCAGGCAGCACAGCAGTCCCTGCACTGGGCGGGCCAGAGCACAGATGGCCGCGGAGGGGCTAAGGGGGGTCGTGCGGGACCTGCAGACAGATACACAGGGCCAGGCCAAACGATCAGCGGCCCCCAGCGGGTGTGAGGGAGGACGGGCCAGGGATTGGCACCCGCACAGGCATTGTTAGGAAACTGGGAAAGCAGTCTACTGCGCGGCCTTCGGACCCCCACCTGGACTGCATCATCAGAAGCCTCCAGTCCTGATAGCAAAGGCTGGATACTGAGCCTCTCTCTGTTTCTTCTTATGAGGGAGCCTCCCTCCCTGTTCTGGGTACATAGTAGCTTTCTCTGTTCCGCTCATGCGTGGGTACCATATGGCACCTCGCCAACCTCATTTCTATATCTGTTCCTGGTGGGGAGGGAACAAGGTCCCTCACTTGCAGCATTAATGGGTGCATGCAACCCACCAGCCCTGTGTTGCCTGTGGAGAGTGACCTGCTGGCCATGGAGGACCAGTGCTCGCTAGCAAAGCTTACCGTCTCTACGTGAGTAAAGCATTGTTCCATCCACTGCCTCTGTGTGATTCATGCTTTTGTTGGTGACCCCAGACCTTGGCTCAACAGTTTGGTGCAGTCTGCCTTCCCTACTGTCAGCTCTCTGGAGCAGGGACTGTGTCTTATGTGCTGCTGTATTCCTAGGGCACTATCTGACACATAGTAAGTACTCAGTAAATACTTGTTACATGCATGCAACATACACACATCACACCCATAACCTTTACATACAGTGCACATGCACACATGTGCACCCGTGCGTGCCACACACAAAGCAAATACATGCACTCCTTATGTACCCAGAATACAAAACTGCTTCACTGGACTACCCCGTGTCTACTGCTCTTCAGACCAGATAGTTTATTTTCCTTTCTGGTTAGGAAATTGTGAAGTAGTCTTTCCTTCTGAGGTAAAAACAAAACAAAGTGTCACAATTTAGAACAAGACCCCCATGTACTCTTAGAAAGAACAAGTGAATATGTTACTTTCAAGCAGACCAAATATTATTTAATAAGAACTTTTCTTTGACGCCTATTGCTTCTATAACCTCCAGAGATCCTGGTGTACACCTCAAGTTAGCCCCTAGCAAACCTGGATGAGCATGTGAAAATGGCAGTGAACGCCAGAGAAGTCAGAAAATGCTCTGTGGAACTGGGCTGCCCTGGAAGGCAGAATTAATTAGTCTGTCACTGGAGAATCACCTTTTATGTCTTTTCAAAGAGCTTCTGTAAAGCACAGGCAAGTCAGATAGGTGTCACCCTCTGTTTCAAAATTCTGATAAGGTAAATCTATTTAGTGCTTCCAACAAACCCTAACAGGTGCTGCATTTCCCAAGCTCCTAAAGCAAGCACTTCCTTCCATCGCAGCCAGCCCTTGCAATCTGGCACAGCAGGCCTCAGATGCCAGCCACATCTCCAGCCTCATCTACCCTACAAGGAAAAACCGTGGCTCGGGGAAGTCAAAGACTTGCCAAAGGTCCTACAAGTAGCAAGTGGCAGCAGGGTGGGGTCTCAGACCCAGGGTGTCTGCCTCCAAACTCAGGCCCTTCCCTTCATACTCTGCTGTCTCTTTCAGGGCAGCATTTCTTGAACTTTCCCCTCAGGGTGGAGAGCTGGCAACATCTCAATGTGCTGGTTGGTCTCCTGAGGGAGAGCGAAGCACCAGGAAGCTAAAAAGCAGGAGCCCAGCCTCTCTGCTGCACTGGCACACTACATCACTGGGGGAGGGTGCCCTCAGCCAGGACCTGGTTTTGTCATCTGGGTGGGGTGCACTTTCCTCCCAGTGGTATGCCATGGTCTGTCAGGGGAAGACAAGTATGTTGGAAATTACTGAGTGCTCTAAACATAAGGTACAACAGCAACACCCCATGTATTCAGTAACCTCAAATATCAAAACCTTTGAACCAAACAGGAAAAAAAAAAAACTCTCTAATCAGCAAAAACAGGTGTTACAAAATTTATGTACTAAATTAACTTCATTTCCCTCATAAAGGTGCACTCCCTGCCAGAGCCTATTTGTCCTGGCTATTGGTTTTCCTACTCCACACATCTTAGAATGAACAAATTCTGAATTTCACTGTCAGGCACAGTTTATAAAAGGCAGACACAACAACTCAAAAACGCAGCATCTATGACCAATCAAATAATCCCATACAAGTTATTAGTCCCTAAAAGCTTTATGTTAACATTCCTTCTTTATTATCATCCCATCACTGGGGACTTATTGAGATGTCACTATGTACCTGGTTACTTACATTCATTACTTCAGCCAGTCCTCATGCAACTTCATGGCTGTCCCATTAGTTCTCCATTTCACAGTTAAGTAAAACAGTGCTCAGACACTACCTGCTCAGAGATCCACAAGTGGTTGGTGGGAGAAGGAATTCCCTCCCAGGTGTAGAGGTCCCAGAGCTGGTTCCCCCACTTCCCTGCAGTGCCTCCCCATGGGGCTGAGCTGAGATCAGCAGCCTGAGTTTTCAAAAAGAGCAAACCATTATCTGTGGCCCTGCTTCAAGACATGATTTTTCAAAACCTTCCATCCAAAATGGAATACAATAAACTTTGTTCTCTATACATTTGTTTTTTCTTGTCTTTTTATATAAGTGAGATCATACAATATTTGTTCTTTTGTGGCTGACTTATTTCACTCAGCACAGGGCAGGAAAGAGGGGAAAAGAGGGAGGTTAATGGTGATGGAAATATCGCATTAAGGGTAGGGTTACACAGCTCAATATTGTAATTGCTGTCAATAAGTTGTACACCTGTAAAAAGTTGAATTGGCAAAAGTTGCTTGATAGATATATTGACAACAACAACAACAAAAAGAAAGGGTAACTGCTGAGGCTGATTATGTATACCAAAAACCTCATGGGATTTGGTTTCTTGGCTTGGAGGTTTGGTGTGATGATTTCATGGGACATCCCAGTTAACTGGCCTAATATGTTTAGTGCCTCTGTTCCACCTCCTAGTTCAATGCGTAATGCCTGGGGTCTTAAAAGCTTATAAGCAGCCATCCAAGGCATGACAATTCGTCTCTATTCACCTGGAGCAACAGAGAAAGAAGGAGAGTCAGGAATAGCAGGAGGATATGGAATATGTGGCTAATTGCCTCCATGATCAACTGCCTCCTTTGCCATGAGACCAGAACTGGATGGTGCCTGGCTACCATTACTGAACATTTTGATCAAAGACTCCATAAAAGAATCCTGATTAAAAGGGGGGAAATGCAAAAGAGAATTTCAAATTCTCACGGACTCCAGACTTCCTGGAGCCATGAAGGTTAGCTAAACCCGAAACTATGGCCCTGAGATAATCTTTAAACCTTAAACCAAAATTATCCCTGAAGTCTTCTTAAAACCAAACAATAGTGTAGCTTAACTAGTAAAGAATGTCTGCCTTGAGTATTATGCTCTTTTAAGAACTATCTATATGGGAAGAATTGACAAGAGCAACTCTAATGTTTAGATAGGAACCTTAGGGGGCAGTGAATTTATGTTAATGAAGGAGGAACAACTCAGAAAAGGAGGGTGAGAGTGGTTAACACAACTCGAAGAATATAATCAATGTCACTAAATGGTACATGTAGAAACAGTTGAATCGGTGTGTTTTGCTGTGTATATTCTCAACAACAACAGCAAAACAAATAAAATTTTATATATATATATATAACAAAATGGCACACAAGTGATTATCAAAGGGAAAGGTTGCATTTACTAGCAAAACTAACTTATTTGGATGCTTATTCTCTAGGCACCATTGATTTTGAATAAAGTATTCCTTAATGATGATTTTGAATTACTTTCTAGACCCAGGCCTCTGAGAAGAGTCTGTCTGCTATGGACTCCATTACCCTGCTCTGTGGGTAAGGAGGGGCACGACACCCCTTACAGCCTCTGAGAAGCTCCCCAGCCCGTTCATCCGCAGAGAAGGCAGAGGTGAACTGTTCATAAACGACTCCTTCTGAAGAAGAATCTTTGGTGCTGCCACTGTTGGATTCTGGCTTCGATGAAGCAGAAACACACCACCATCTCATTTCCAGGAGAAAATAAGGTGTCTGTTGTGGACATGTGGTTATGCTGACTTCGGTTAAATTACCACAGTAAATTCACCAACCTCCTCCAAATTAAATAAAAAAGAAGAGGATGAGAAAATAGGAGTATGAGTGAGTCAGGGTCTCAAACCTTCATTCTCCATTGAGAGTGCAAAAGGGAAGCTGGGCATGGGAGCCCGTTCTGGATAGATGAAGTGTCTCACTAACTTCTGCTTATGCAGGAAAAGCAAAAACTGGTCACTCACACACAGTTGTCACAGCAACAGCAATACTTTTGAGCTGTTGGTGTCAATAGGAAAGGAGTCACTTTCCTCTTGCCTTGCCCCTAGTCCTGCCTAGATGGCTTGCTGGAAGGTTGAGCTGAGGTGGCCAGAGCAGCCACGCCCTCTCATGGAGGGCTCCTCAGCCCCAATGGATGGCTGTGGGGGTTACTTGGTGGAAACCTGCCACCAGACAAACCAGCACCACTGTGTGGTAGGTTGGGCTGTGTGGTGCCTGCTGGGCTTCATGAGAGCAGGAAGGGTTCCAGTAACAGCCACCACACCCGACAGTGGTGGCCACTGGCTGACATGCACCATGTGCACTGGGGGTCTGTTCCTCTGTTTGGAAACAAAGTTTGTGGAAATCTAGGCCCGCATGAGTGGGCTGAAGTTGCCCAGGTGGCCCAGGCCTGGACCTGCAGGCCACAAATCTCCCCTCTGTCTGCCCCACACAGCCCCGACCCTACCTCATTGATGGCCAGCTGTTCACCACCACCGCCAGAGTGGCTGTAGTGGTGACTGGAGCCGCACACGTCCTCATAAAGGTCCTCCTCGCTCCCCGCCTCTTCCACGTGGATGGCTGTATCCAGAGCTCCATCAGGAATGGCTGGAAGGAGAGAGACTAGCTTGCAAAGGGAGCAGACTGGAAAGGTGGGAGGGGGCATGTGGAGAAGGAGGCGGATCTTCTCAGGATAAATAAACACTCTCTCTGCAAGCATGCAGCCTGGCTGACTGGGTGCACTGGCTGGCTCTCCCACCACCACTGATGACAGTCACCCAGCTGTGCAGTTCATACACACTCAGCACACAAGGAGACACACATCTGCCACAGCAGCACACTCAGGAGCCAAAGCCAGTCACTAATGAGTCCAGTATGGTCTAAGGTCCTGGATAAGACAAATGTTTCAAAATTGTCATTAAATATATATATATATTCAAAGGAAATATACAGTATATGCATCCAGATATAGTTTGAAAATTAATGAAATGAACACCCAGGGTTGGTTAGGAAAAAGAGCATCATCAGTCTCTAGACACTCCATTGCGATCCCATTCCCCTCTCTCTTCCTTAGCCAATATTTTGATTTTTTTTACAAATCCCTGCCTTGTTTTTCTTTGTTTTGCCATTTCTTTTGGTCTGGTTTTGCCTGGTTTTGTTCTTATCTAAATGGAACCATCCAGTAGCTATTTTTCTGTGACTGGTTTTCTCCATCCAACTGCTTGTGAAGCTGTGATTCATTTGCTCTCACGGATGCACCGCTGGAGGACAGTGGGCTGCTTTCTGTGGTGATGCTGTTGTGAATGAGGCTGCCCACACACAGCTCCTGTGGCATGTGCCCAATAGTGTCTCTCAGATAGTGCTTCTCAGCTATTGTGTTGCTCCCCATCCCCAATAAAGGAGCATTTTTAAACACTGTTATCCTAACTGCACACCCACCCCCATGAAATTTTAATACTGTATATTGTTTATGTACTATGGCTCTTTGGAGGTCCACAAACCACTGTAATAGCTAAGATTTTTTTCATGCTACCCCCAGCAACCAATTTTTGCCCCTTGGGTGAAATTATCACCCCTGGCAAGGATTCATGCTCTAAGGCATAAACATCTACATGTGGCCTGATTGGGTCTAGGGTATGCCAAACTGGTTTCCCAAGTTATGATCCTTATAATCCTGATGGTCATGTATGAATGTTCCCATCACTCCATATCCTGGCCAACTCTTGGGGTTTGCATTGTTGGAACTTTTAATTTTTGACAGGCTGATGTTCTCAAATGGCATCTTACTGTGGTTTCAATTTACCGTCTCTGAATATTAATGAGCTGAACATCTTATCTATGTTTATAGGTCATTTGTATTTCCTTTTCTGTGAAATGTCTGCCTTCTACCCATTTTTCTACGGAATTATTTTTATTGTTAACACTATTTTTACACAAATAATGCACGCATTCTACTTTTTTTTTTTTTTGCCAACTGCGCCCTCCCCCCACATGGTATTTTCTTAAGCACACTATGCTAATTTTTTTACATGTTGCATTAAGGTACATACACACACACACTCACACACATACTCTCCCTCCCCTCCATTCTGTATGTGCTACAAAGTATCTTCTCCCAGTTTGTGGCTTGTCTTGTCATTCTCTTTAAGGTACCTTTGATGGACAGAAATTTTTAATTTTCGTTACATAAATTTGTCAATCTCATCCTACATGGTTTAAATTTTTTGTGTTTAGGAAATCCTTCCCTACTTCTAAACTATAAAGATATTCCCATATGTCGTCCTCTAATGTTTTATAGTTTCTTCTTTCACATTTTTGGAAATTTTCACATTTTTTTTACCCCATCATTTTTACCCTTAAGAATGATTAATTGTCTTAGCACCATTTAGGGAATAGGCAGTCCTTTCCCCATGGATCTACAGTGTCTGCTCTGTCATTAAATCAAGCTTCCATGTAGGTGGGTTTGCATCTGGAATCTATTCTGTGGCAAGCAGAATAATGGCCCCCAAAGATATCTATGTCCTAATTCTTGGAATCTGTGAATATGTTACCTTACATGGCAAAGACTACAGATGGAATTAAGGTTGCTCATCAACTGACCTTATAATAGGGAGATTATCCTAGATTATGTAGGTGGGCCAAATGCTATCACAAGTGTCCTTAGAAGGAGGCAGAAGAGTCAATGTTAGAGTGATGTGATGTGAGAAAGACTCCATCTGCCATTGCTGGCTTTGAAGATGGAGGAGGCCATGACCCAAGGAATATAGTGGCTCTAGAAACTGAAAAAGGCAAGCAGATGAATTCCCCCCTAGAGTTTCCAGAAGGAAGCAGCCCTGCCAACACCATGATTTTAGCCCCATGAGACCTGTGTTGGGCTTCTAACAAAACTGTTTAAGATAATAAATTCATGATGTTTTAAGCATTTTATGATAACTGCTTATAGCAGCAATAGGAAACTAATACAATTATATTTCACTGGTCTATTTGTGTATCTCTTTGCCAATACCACAATGTCTTGATTCCTTTAAGTTCATAACAAGTCTTGATATATGGTTAGGCAAGCTCTGCCACATGTTCTTCTTTATTAGGAGTATCTTGGCTCTTCCCTTTTTTTTTTTATGGGTCAAAATGGCTTTTATTTGCTAATATTGTTTTTGGTTTACATTCAGTTTGACTGTATTCAATTGCCTTTACATATTAGACATATACTCCAATTATCCAAATGGATGAGCAACTTTCTTGTTACCATCTGCATTGAATGAGGTTGCATGTCTTTATTCATTTAGGAAATGATCTTTTTCATTTGTTTGTTTTTCATTGTACTTTAGATGAAGGTTTACAGAATAAACTAGCTTCTCATTCAACAATTAGTACACATATTGTTTTGTGACATTGGTTGCCAACCCCACGACATGGTCAATGCTCTCCCCTTCTTGACTTTGGGTTCCCTACTACCAGCTTTCTTGTCCCCTCCTGCCTTCTCATCATTGCTCCTGGGCTGGTGTGCCCATTTAGTCTCCTTTTGTTTTATGGGCTCCAATCTTTGGCTGAAGGGTGAACCTCAGGAGTGACTTTATTACTGAGCTTAAAGGATGTCTGGGGGCCGTACTGTCGGGGTTTCTCCAGTCTCTGTCAGACCAGTATGTCTGGTCATTTTTTTTTTTTTGAGTTAGAATTTTGTTCTGTATTTTTCTCCAGCTCTGTCCGAGACCCTCTATTGTGATCCGTCAGAGCAGCCAGTGGTGGTAGCCAGGCACCATCTAGTTGTGCTGGACTCAGTCTGGTGGAGGCTGTAGTACTCGTGGTTCATTAGTCATTTGGGCTAATCTTTCCCTTGTGTCTTTAGTTTTCTTCATTCTCCCTTGCTCCCGAATGGGTGAGACCAGTGGAGTATCTTAGATGGCCGCTCACAAGCTTTTAAGACCCAAAACACTACTCACCAAAGTAGAATGTAGAACATTATCTTTATAAACTGTTATGCTTGGCTCGTCTTGGGCCTTTGCTTTTCCACATAAATTTTACAATAGCTTGTCAAGTTCCTCTTCCTCAACCAGCACCACCACATGGTTGAGGTTTTGAGACTTCACTGAGTATATAGATCAATTTGGGGGAGACTTGATATGTTTACAGTAAGAATTCTCCCATTCCATGAACATAGCATAGTTCTCCATTTATTTAGGTCTTCTTTGATAATCAACAAAATTAAAAAAATTTCTCCATAAAGGGCATTTATAGAGATTTAGTCCCAGGTATACTGGCAATTTGTTTCATCCATACTCCCCTCCGACTCAGCACTTTCTCTTCCCTCCATGCCCATTGTGTCTTGCCAGTATCATATCATCGACTGAACACATTTAGGGAGCTGTAAGGGTCAGGAAACAAAGGCAAGATACAATGTAGAGCTCCAACAGGACAGCCTCACTCACAGTCATTGCTTCCAAACTGCTGGGACCACCTGGATCACTGCTCTCCTTGCTCAGCTTCCCTGACTTCTCCAGCATTGGACATCACTGTTAATCCAGCTATCATGTCCTCTTCCCTCCCTGCTGCATCACCAGATGTCATCTTTTTTTTTTTTAATATTTTATTGTACTTCAGGTGAACGCTTACAGAACAGATAGTTTCTCATGTAACAGTAACACACATGCTGTTTTATGACATTGGTTAACAACCCCACAACATTTTAACCCTCTAA